AGGCCAACCCCAGGAAGCTTTTTAGCTGAACTTGGTCAATGGGCGTGGATCAGTCTTTACTGGTCTTTACTTTTTCCTCTAGAGTGCTGATACCCTCACAACCCAGCTTGTGTCCAAGGAAATCTACCTCCCTCCTCATGAAGTGGGACTTGGCACGGTGCAACTTAAGGCCTGTAGCCTTCACTCTCCCCATCACTAGTCTTACGGAATCCAAGGTGGTTTCAAAAAAGGACCCAAACACCAGGTGGTCAACCAGTTAGACTAGACACTGCTGTCTTGGGATGCCAGCCAGCCCACCATCCATAAGCCTCTTGAAGGTGGTTGGGATGTTGCACAGACCAATGCTCAGAACTCTGAACTGCCACAGCCCATTGCTTGTGCAAAAGGCTGTCTTTGGTCTGGATTCTGGTGACAGAGGCACCTGCTAGTAACCGCTTTGCAGGTCCAGGATTAGGAACCAAGAGGACTGCGCTACACAGTCAATGGGCTCATTGATCCAAGGGAGTGGATAGGAGTCCTTTTTAGTGATTTTTTTTTAAATGGCATGTAACCTACAGGTTCTACTAGCTCTTGGACCAGACATTCCTCACTGCTGACAGCTTTGCCTCCTCACCAATTTGTTGGTCAGCTGATGATAATTGGGGGGACTTGGAGGTACAAGCAGGTATCATTGTAGTGGATGAGGCGAAAGGTGGGGCTGCACCCACATCGTTTCTGGGAGTAGCAGACAGCCTTTTTCATGGTTCAGCACACAACCAACAACACGTAAAAAGTCCAGCCCAAGGATGCAGGCATCCTGAATATCAGCAACCCAGGCAGCAAATGGTAGAGTTAGGCCTCCAACCTCAGTCTGGAACATCCCCACCCTCCCTTTCATGGGGCTTAGATCGCCAGTTACAGTCTTAAGCTGCACATTGGTCGCCTGCACAGTGGTTCTAGCTGGAATAATATCAGGTTGGACTAGCGTTGTGTTATACCTCGTGTCAAGGAGAGCTACGCAGGAAACGCTGTCAATCATTACGGGAACGTTGCAAACGTCATCCACCTGGGTCCAGGCAACAGTGATTACTATGTCAGGTGATAAAGGGTGTGGTGTGGGTGTGTAGGTCTCAATGGCCCATGTACTCCCAGCTACTCGGGCCCCTGGCTGTTTCCCTACATGGCAGTAAACGTGGGACACTGCCAGAAAAGATATCCAAGTTGTCTGCAACACCAGCAGCTTTGTGGTCGGCGGCGAGGACCATAACAAGAAGTAGGTGACTGGAGAGTAGCTGCCTGGTCAATGCTGAGTGGTCCCCTGGGCATCTCCAGCTGCTCAGCAGGTGTAGTTGTTGCTCTGACAACCTGTACATCCTCATTTCCTCCTATAGATCCTGTCAGTATCTCCCTCTCCAGTGCCAACTCCAGAGCTGCATTAAGTGAGGTTGGGCAGGCGAGTTATGTTTGTACACGGAGCTCTTTAGGATTGAGGGCCTGCAAGAACTGGTCATGGGCAAGCTCTACCTGCACTGTGAAGGGCATGTCATCTTAAGCCTGTCTGCAGAGGGCAATCTACATCATAGGCCAGAATACGTAGGGGCTCCCCTGGCAGTCACCGTCTATAGTGGAATTCAGCCCTCCATAGCCCAGGCTGGTTATATAGTCCAAACCCTCTCTGAAGTGCCCCTACCAGAACAGCATAATCCCCCCTTTCTTTTTCACTCAGTAGAAGCAAAAATGCTGTTGCATCTTCACATAGACACAAAGGTAATTGTAGAGCTTTATGCTTCACTTTCCAGCCATCTGCAACAGCTACTTACACAAACTGGGCAATAAACACTTCCCTCTGTGTGTTTATATTTCCCGTAACCAGCTGTCCATGGGCATGGCCATGTTAGTTTTCATCATGTTAGGCGCGTCACATGACATCAACTCCGTCCCGCTGAAATGGCATGAAAAGGACCCTCAAGCCGAAACAAACCCGGGGAAAACTCCGCCTCAGCAGCCAGCTGTAGAGTTGTTTCCCTCGCCCCATGGGAGGCCAGCCAAGCTGTGTCCCAGAGCAGTGAGCAGGGTCACATGTGATGTTCCAGTCTGTAGCTTAAGTGTAACACACCGTTAAGCCTCCAAAACACCAGGTTGATCTTTAATTGAAATGGTTGTTTATTTCGGACATACACCAGATTACGAACACAGCTCCTCCAACAAAAGCACTCATAACTTCCACAGTTTTCCCTCCAAAAACAGCCCTCCCGCCCATAAGCATCTCTACATTGTAAAGAGACAGTGACAGTGCAACAGCACTACCATCGTCCATCGCAGATTATTACAGTGGTATAACAACTTTCAAAAGCCAAGGCTGGGTTTCAAACCAATAACCCTAGGATGGAAAAGGCACCCTCCTACAGGAGACGTCATTATTAGCAAGTAATACAATTTAATACTACTAACACATCTGAAACCAGTGGCTTTGTTATTTTCTGGTCATTTTATCATTGAATCTAACCAAATTTTTTCTATCCAACTAGATTGGTTGTTTTTCCAACCAATCTATTCTTAGAATCTTAGAATCTATCCAACTGACCGCAACTCTCCTACAAACTCCCACATCTTTAATGAATAATGAGGCTGTTTAAATGCCTGTCAAAGTTTTTGTGCGATCTGAACCACTTCCTGAATTGGTCACGTGGTATGGCGGTAGGCTTCGGTTAACATTGATTTTGGCCCCTCCCCTAAATTTAGCAAATCTTGATATGTAATTTACTGTAACAGCCCCGCCACTATCCGACACGCCTCGAAGTCTCAGCTGAGGTTCTCATTTCAGACTGGCAGCTCTGTCTTGTCAAAGTTTTCCTCTGATGCTTGGTCGTCTGTTGAGTCTTTGTTACTCACAGACTCCCTGGCTAAAATATCTCCCTGTCCAAAGTCAGGTCTTTGAAACAGATCGTCATCATCTCCATCATTTTAAGTATTCACCTTCTTCTTTGTCTTCTTAGATTCCTGGCTGCTTACTGGCTAACTGGTACATCCACTTGCAAATCTTTAGTCATATTTTTGCAGGTAACCTCTCTTTACGACTGGTGCCTTTCTGCGGCACTTTTTTATTTAAAGACGCGAACAGCCATGTTGTGGGACTGTGGGAGGAAACTGGAGTACCCGGAGAAAACCCACGCATGCAAAGGGAGAACATGCAGAAAAAACCCGGGCCAGGAATCAAATCCAGAACCTTCTTGCTACAATGCAACAGTGGTTCCCACAGCATCACAGTGCAGCCCCCTATTTTGATGAAGGAAATAGCTGTATAATAACAGATTTTGCCATAATTCCAGACATTACCAGCAGGAAATGTTTAAAGGAAAAGGTTCGCAGTGATTTAATGAATGTAGTGTTAATCAGTAAAAAATAAAA